CCTTTGTCAGCTGCATTCTGCACGACTCTGCGTGAGCCGTGTAGATGGGGATGGGAGTGCAATGCATCAAATGAATTTTAAACGTGCCCTGGAATCAGCCCATTAGATTCTTAACTCTGCTATAGAGATAAAACGGGAGCAAGAGGAAGCAAGAAAACAAAACAAAGAAATCTTCATGAGTAGGCCATTATTTGCCTTTTATGTCATACTCCCTCTTCCTCTCCTTCACAGCTTGCAGTAAAAAGCCACTGAGACACCATGGTGTTAAAAAGCATCTCTTCCAGCAGCGGTCTTCCCCCCCTCCCCTCCTCTCTATTATGCACCCTAAGTTGATATTTGTACTTCACTCAGAGGAGACAGCCATGAAAAGGCGACTTACTTTCAGAGAATTCCCTCATTATGGTCAGTTCTGGTGGTGACGAACAGTGGAGGATGAATGAAATGGAGAAATTGGGCTTAAAAGAGATGGTTGACGTGGATTTGATGGCAGAATGACACTGCCTTCCAAACGTATACCTACACATTTTGTTTGTCTTTATTTATTAGTAATACATACTATTATTATTATTATTATTATTATTATTATTATTATTATTATTATTATTATTATTATTATTATTATTATTATTATTAATACTACTAGTAGTAGTAGTAGTAATAGCAGTAGTAGTAGCATTGGCTTATTATTACTATTTTTATTACCAACAGTAGCAGTATTTTTGTTCTTATTATTATTATAATTATCATCAGTGATGTCATGAAATACATTTATTTTACACGTTAATTTTTTTCTCCCATAGAGAGCAATGCATTTTTTTTCTTTCTTATTTATTAACCATATTAATGAAAACACACTCTGCACTATGAATACTTGAAGGACTGCAGTGGACTTTGATTATAATATTTGCACACGTCTTGTTTTGCTTCTGTGTCTGTTCACCTAATCTTGATAACTTTATTTGATGTGGATGGGAAAAAAAAAAAAAAAAGGTTTGAGGCTGCAAAAGATGTGACAGTGAGGTTTGCTTTCCAGCAGGACAGCAGCCCTAACCACACAACTACAATGGAACGGTTAAGTGAATTCATGTATTGGAATGACCTAGTCAAAGTCCAGACATAATTCCATATGAGAATCTGAAGCAAGAGATTCCAGAAGCTCTTCATCTGGTTTGCAAAGAAGCATGTTTTTTTTTTTGTTGTTTTTTTTTTTTAATTTCTGTGTTTAAATCCGTTGAAAGCTGATAAATACTCCACAACACCTGCAACTTGATGGGCTACAGCAGCTAGAGCTACAAAATATTGACAACAGGAAGCCGAGCAAAAGTGCACTCCACACTTTTCTGTTTTTCATTTCCCAATTTCCATCCATCCTTGTGGTAGAGAAGTGGCTCTATTTGGAGCTTCCAGGTGAGCTCCTCACCTGATCTCTTCAATTTCAATGTCACTGCGCTCCTCAAATATCCAAGGAGGAACACACTTCATAAAATACGTAAAAAGGAAAGCACATTTATAACGTATGATAAAAACAGTAAGCTGAAAGGAGTACAATAACCAATTTAAGGTTAAAAGAAAAAAAGAAAACAGCTTTTTTAATGTCATATGCTTACAAATCAATATACTAACAAGGTGGTGTCACCAATAACCTTTTGCAATGTATGTTTTATTATTTGACTCTTTGTCTTTTGTTTTGCTATCTTTTGTTCCTTTTGAAATAAACAGGGCCAATTTGATTGGCCAGACACCAGTTTATCAACGTCATAACAACTTTGGCGAGAAGCCATATCAAAAGCCCTGTTATCAAGCCAACCAGAAACAAGCTTCTACTGACCGTGGTCGGCTGTGGTTCTCTTTCCATTCGGAAATTTCACTTCATAATTCAAACCAGCAAAATTACAGGTGTGGGGATGCAGAGCAGGGGTTCTGTTTTGGAAACCACACAGTTTCATCTTCGCCGCGCAAACAATGCAATCCTGTTTGAAAATGAGAGCAGAAGACGGGTAAATGGAAAGAGGTGCCGACCGCAGTAGTGACGACACTCAATTAGTTTAAAACTGAATTTGGCATTCTGTCTGCGTTCTCATCCTCAGCTCTATCGTCATGACAGAAAAACGAGATGCCGGATTGGAACTGCTAGAAAGGACATTTTCTTTCATTTCTCGGAGCTGGAAGTGTAGCAATCTCTCCTCCGTGACTAAACGTGTCGGCAGAGGCTGGTTGGTCGTCTGATCAGGAATCACCTTTTGGAGGTTTTCCAGGCGCGCTCCGAGGAAGGAAACCTTGGGGGCAAACCCAGAACTTGCCGGAGGGACGATATATATGCTTTCTGGCTTGAGGATATGTGCCTGTTTTTTTTTTTAGAGATGCCCTCTGTCAATACTCTGTCATATCAAGATGAAACACCAGATTTTTAGCAGTGCTCATTGGGAGGTCTCATGTCCTTTGATCGTGCTAAAACAGAATATTGGAACGGCATTACTGGCCCCTTAATGCCCCTTAATGCATGTGCACTAAGGGGTTTTTATGATGTAAAGCACTTTGAACTGCCTTGTTGGTGCCGCAGTCTGGTAAAAACCCATATTTCAGATCGACATGGATTTGAATCCTCGGTGATGATCAAGTCACTCATCTATTTGGTTTGACAGACTGTTCTTCAGTAAATTTTCTAGAAAAAAGGTTTTCTATGTGCTGAATAAGGTTATTAGCTTGAACTGACCCGAATGTCACATTCTGGGTTATTTGGACTCTTTGGTTTCGTTATTTTCCCCTGTATTGATTTCTTATTTTCCTTCATACATGCTTGTCTCAGTCTTGTCATGTTATTCTTTGTGATAGTTACAGTTAGATTTACTTTCTAGTTCCTCTGTTTGTCCTCCCTTGCTGCCTTCTGTCAGTCCCCTTCCCTTCCTCTTCCCCAGCTGCTAGCAGTTTACCTTATTAAGTCTCACTCAGTCTCTTTCTGGCTCTAGTTAGTTTTCCCTATTGGTTCCTCTCTCTCCCTCCTCAGTTCACCTCTCCGGTCTCATGTCACACTTGCAACTCGTTAGCTAATCAGGAAGGTCTTTTGTTCCAGGATTCACTCTCACATTCTCCAAACTAAACTCCTTGCTGGTTCCTTCTGTTAAATCCCATCAAATCCGCTTCATTCTGCCTGTTGTTCCTGTTAATTTTGTTGTGCTCTGGCTCCCTGCATTCCCCATGTTTTTTTTTTTTTTGTGTTGTTGTTGTAAGTTTTTGTTTCTCATTTAAACTTTCACCACCCTCCCAGCTCCTGTCTGCACTTTGGTCCATCAAACTCACTCATCATGACAGTATCACCCTTAATGTAGTCTCTTTGGTGCATTGGACAAAGAAGATAAAGATTTTAACTTAAAATGTAGAATTTTTATTATTACCTTTTTGCATTATTGTGTACATTTTATTTTTACATTTTGTTTTGTTGCATTTTTATTATGCATTCGCATTTTTGTACGGCACAATTCTTTTCTCTTCTGTCGAGCACCAAAAATGTAACTTTAATTTACAACACAGTGAAAATAAACTCTATTCCATTCTATTCAATTTCATCCCCAGATAATTGATTTATAACCCAAATAGACTCCACATGTGCAACATATTTTAAAGATAGAAGAACACTGCTGTCCCTTTCTCACTCAATCATCAAGCGCAAGGTGAGATGTTTTCTTAGTCTTGAAATTATCATTATTTTATTAATCTGGGATCCTCTCTCGACATATTACAGCAATCTTCAGTTAGAGTGGCACATCTGATGTTTTGTGGTTTGATTCATGTGGCTTTAACAATTCAATTATTTGTAAATAGACTCCAAATCTTTAATCTTGGAAGGTTTTCTTGGCATAGCTTTCATTTTTTAGCATCCTCAATAGATTCTCCATTGAGTTTTGAGACAAGACTCAAAAACATTAGTTTCACTTTCAGTCCATAAGCGAGAGACGCTTTGATCGAATAAAAATATTACTTTGAACTAAGTCTGCCATGTGTGTAGATGATTCTTGGTTTTCATTGTGTGTAAAGCTGTAGTGTAAAAATAATCTGGGAATCTACCAATATGGGTTGCACAAACATGGGGCAAATTCTTAAGGAAGAGTGGTGCAGTGTATTTCTCTTTCCTTTTCTTTTTTTTTCTCAAATCAAAACTTGCCACCAGCAGACAATATGGCTCCCCACTATTGTCATTTATTTGAAAAAAACTTTTCGCTGAACCTCGAGCAGCTTGAATGTGCTTTTCTGCTCTTCTTCCAGACTAAAAAAAAAAAAATAATAATTAAAAAAAATCTTTAACAATAGATCTTTGGAACACTGAATAACTCCACGGTCATTTTTGCCTCTTTGGTTAGGTAAGATGCCCTGATGTCGTCGGGGTCAGCAGTACATGGACACAGACAATATGGGACTTATAGTCCATGTCCTGGATAAATTTGTGCATGGTCTCAAATGTCCCTCTATTTCAATTCTCGAATGGTGTTTGCTTCAAAACCTTTTCGAGGCAGTAGTGTAGTTATCTGTTTTCCTTCCTCTAAACTTTCCACGAACATGCTTTTGATATTACACAGGCTTACCTCCTGGAAAAAATGCAGATTTATTTATTTTTCGTTGGATAGCAGGCTTCTCCACGACTGCTCAAGTCATAACTATGCCCATAAGGCAGCAATTCTGGTTTAAAACTAGTAGTAATTCTTTTATTATTATTTTTAATTAAAAACTGAACAGCAACATGAACACAATTCCACGCTTGAAATAAACCAGTCTGCTTAATTAATCTATAGAATGTATAAGTTTCACTTCTTGAATTAATTTGTGGTGCTAAATTAGTAATATTCCAGTTTACTGAGATGCACCTGTACTTCACTCTCGACAAGCACAGACTGCAATCTTGACTTTTTTTTTTTTCTGTCGCTCCAGAGTTTGTTTTAATAGGCTACCGGTGTCCAAAGGAGCGTCCAATCCGCGCGCACAGCCGCTGCGAGCCGAGGTTTCTCCTCGCTGCTTGTCTCAAACACGCACACAGACAGAGAGGTAAGACGAGGAGGAGCTCCAGCTCCGCAGGACCGACCGCGTAAACGGAAGGCTGCTCATGCGCTTGGATTATACCGGGCAGAGAACTGTCACCGCTCATAGCAGCGACAGCACACCTTTCCCCTCGCTGCTCTCTGCCGCGCACTGCAGCTCATTAACTCGTCTTCTAACATTAATTAATACATAAATAAGTCTGGATATCCTGCGCAAACACTACAACAGTAGCGGCGTTTATGTGATTTTTTTTCTAGTTTTGTTTGTTTGTTTGTTTTGTTTTTCTTACCCCACCCTGGATAAAATTGTTTAAAAGTATTTTTCTTTTCACCTGCACGGCTTGAACCGCAGAATCCGTGAGTCGTCGGAGGAAGAGGGACTTCCTCCTTTCGCATCTATACGTCTCTCCCTGGAACTGCATCATCTAAAATTTGTAAGGCGTCAAAAAGAATTTTTTTTTCTTTTAATTTTTTTTTTTTTTTTTTGCTGTATTTATTTTTTGTTTTGGAAACTTAAAAAAAAAAAAAAAATATATATATATATATATATATATATATATATATATATATATATATATATATATATATATATATATATATATATATATATATATATTTTTTTTTTTTTTAGAAACGTGTTTAAAAACCATCAAGCGCAACTTGTTGATTTTTTGCGCAAAAAGATAGCC